AGGGTGCCATTCTGTGGGCGTTTCCAGGCCTGGCCTAAGTCTCTGAATTCTAGAATGACATGATCAGCCTCCTTTCCCATGGTAAGAGAGAGCTTGCCACTTTCCCCAAGTTCTCGGTACACCTCCACTCCAGCTTTGTCCCGTTGCACCGCTCTCCTCTCACCCTATGCCAGTCCCCAGTGCTGGGTAGTTATACAGATACACTGGAGCAGGAGACAGTGTGTGGAGGCCAGAGCAAAGACGCCGGATCCTGGCTCTACCACTGCTAGGCCAAACCTGGTGTTTCATTCGTTCGTTCGCTCATTTGTTTGTTTGTTTGGAGCATGCATGGTCTCATCTGTGAGTGCAAACATCCAAGGTTGCTACGAACATTAAATGTGAGATGTTTTAAAATCTGGACTTATATATGGGATTCAGCGAGTGAGTGCAGATTCCATCCGGGAACATGGAGACTCCTCCTGGAGAGATAGTCCCAAGAGAGTGATGGGAGAGAGGCTGGGACAAGGGCACTTCAGCTACCATGAGTCATCCGCTAAGCTTTCCCATTTATGTCCATCTGCAGGGTGGGGTGGAGCACAGCTGGAACCTTTCCACTCACTTGGAAACAGAGTGATACCCAACTTCTGGGGATCTGTTAGCTGGAGGGGTGATGGGGCCTGTAATGTGAGTTCCCAACATGAACCTATCCCTGTACACTGCTAAGTGAAAACTGTTCAAATCATGTTCAAAATGGCATACATTCTATAAGGACATTTTTTAAATGAAAAAGCCCAGTTTTTGCTGTTTTGATCTTAAACTTAAAAAGGAATTATAGAAAGAATCCATGGCGATCCTTCCTGGATGAAGGACTGGGACAACTTTTTGCCCATTCTCTTTTTTGTTGTTGCTGCTGTAAATGTAAAATTCCTAATCGAGTAATTTTATGAGGAAAACCACACTGAGTGTGACCTCTACAGATTGTAGGCACTGGTCTGAGCTGACAGTCAAGGACCTAGCGTGGCCGTGTGGCTCTTATGGTTCAGTGTTTCAACGCCTCCTTGACTAACTCCATCCTCTGCTGTCCTTAACCTCATACAGATCAGGGCAGAGACGCCTGGACACTTTAAATGTTTCTTTTCACTTAATTCACAGTGTTATTGAGCGCTTTCAGACGTATTATCACTTAACTTCTCAACCACTCCAAGGTCAGCTAATGTGCTTAGGAATGAGGGGACTGAAGCTTTGACAGGCTCTCTTTGGCTGCAGGGAAATCTGAGGCTTGTTTCTTCAGTCCCAAGCCCTGTGTCTCTGTACATCCCTGCCTATCCTCCACCCACTGCCCAGCCTTTGCTCCTTTTTTTTTTTTTCCTATGAACTGAACTATACCCCTTAGGGTGCCTGCCCTGGAGTAGGAATGACACATTATGGAGTGTTCCAGGCCTGACATTGAGGAAGGGTCACCTCCACGGGGAGGTTATGTGGTTGTCAGAGGACACAGATCCCATGAGGTAGGGATGGGACCACCCCAGCGATCCCCCTCAGTGCTTTTGCTTCTCCTCTTTATTTTCAGCAGACTTGGAAGAGGCTGTGGTTGGCCAACCCTGTATATAGACAGAACCTTGTGGGGCATTGGCGGAGGGGTGGGGGAGTGGGGGGTGGGGGGAGGGAGACCTTAGCTTCCTGCTGGGCCTCTACCCTCCTTTCTCTCCTCTATCCCCTCTTTTCTCCACTCCCCCTCATATCCTCTCTCCACCCTGTTCCTTTTCTCTCCTACTCCTGTTCTCATTCTTGCTTCCTGCTCTAGCTAGGATAGGAAGATACTCTTGCATGGATTCTGGCTCTGGGTCAAGACAAGAGAAGTGGGGGCCGAAAAGGACCCCAGGATGAGGGTCCCAGTTGCTGGAGCCCTTGGATGAATGGCAGTGGCAGCTTGGAGCAAAAGGTGGTGGTGTGACGTGTCTCTGCCCCCCAGCCCCCCATCCTCCACCCTCCCATCCCCCCATCCCCCTACCCTGCCACTGGATAGCCCATTTCTGCTCAGCCAAGAACCTCAGTTGGGCAGTGAGGCTACTGGTGGCAGACACTGGGCTTTTTGCCCCTTTCTTTCCTTCTGAAACCAGCTCTGTCACCCTAGGCTTACTGCTCATCTGATGTGGTGCCTGTCTGTGGAGGGCGGGGCTTGACCACAGCTGTGCACTCCTCTGTGGGAATTTGGACAGGCAAGTGGGGAGGGAGTGGAGGTGTGGGTATTAGCACTCCCAACTGTCCCCTGCTTCAGGATCAGAGTACAGGCACAGAAGACATGATTGAGTTCCAGCTGCTCTATCCCAGGACTGGTGCTTCAGGGATGGCATGCTAGGACTGGACCATTGCAGACCCCTGGCCCAGGACATGACCCACAGATTTGTTGTTGATGCTGGTTGAGAGAATGAACTTGGACAAGTCCATTAAATCAAATGTCAGTTTCCTTTCCCAAAAAAGCAACTGAAAGAGGGTGTCTGCTCCTCTTATTCAGCAAGATCCTAGTGTGTGACTTGGGAAGCTTCTTTGGGCCTTAATTTCCTCATCTGTACAATGGGAGTGTTAATGAAGCCTTTCTTAGTAGGCTAGGAAGTCAGTGCTTCACAAATTAGGGACTTAATAAAGTGTTCCCAGGTTCCCATCCTGCTTATGAATGTACTTTGAAAACAGCAAAATGTGACATGAATATGATTTTTTTTTTCTTTTCAGGGCTCTCATTTCAGAAAGCCAGTTCCATTTTACTGGGGAAGGAGCTCATACATTAAATAAAACTAATGGTGATACTGGTAGTTTTCTTTATTGGCAGTCCCTCAAGTGCTAGGCCCTGTGCTGGTCACATCACACGCATATCACAGGAACCCTGAGTTCTACCACTCCTGTTGTGCAAAGGAGGAAACTGAGGCACAGAAAGGCTAAGCTACTTCTTTGAAGTCACAGAGCAGGGAAACCGAACAGTGAAGATTTCTCAGACAAGGATCCTGCATTTCTCCTTGCTGACTCTGGGAATCTCTGAGATTTGGCCACTGTATCATGAGTCAGCCTCATACAGGGGAAAATTCTTGCTGCACAAGGCTTGGAGACAGAGGAAGAGTTTTTCCCAGAGTTCCAAGGTTCAAGATTCTGATCTTGGGTTGCTTTTCTCCTGCAGCATCAAGCCTCGCTGGTTTCTACCTCACATAACCCTTCCTCCTGTGTCTGAGATTTACATACTTAACCAGTACCACCCCCCTTCTGGGCTGTAGGAATAAGAATGGTTACAGTGTGACTGTCCTCCTTCCCTCTTCCCAGAACCTGTGCCTGTCGTTTTTTCCCTTGAGCCTGGCTTTTGCTTGTACCTGCATGTGTGAACAAGCTCCTATGCACATTTGCCTATGAATGAATGCATGCTTGAACATTGTGGAATGGATCTTGAATTCGAGGCCAATCTGGGCTACATAGGAAGACCTTAGAATTTGTATCTCAAAAACCTCGTGATACTTCACGGACAGGTCCTTGTTTACAGTGAGACAAACCCTGTGAGGCTTCTCCACTACGACTTTCCTTTGTTGGCAATTTTAGAAACTGCCCTCTCGAATCGCTTCCCTGTCGGCACTTTAGCAACAGGCCATTTTGCTTCAGGAAGTACTCAGTGTTCTTTAGAACCTGGTCAGGCACACATCTGAAGTCCTCATTCTCCCCGTCCCATTTCCCTCTTTGGGGGGAGTTAAAGAGAACTCTTTGCAGTCCTCTGAGTGGCATTCTCCTGACCACTAGGTGGCCCAGACTCCGGGTACTTGTGCTAACTCAGGCCAAGAGTCCAGAATCAGTGTCCCAGCTGTTCCAAGCCTCTCTCCACCCATCAGACAGGCTACCACAGACAATGCTAATCATCCACATCCCAACATTCATTCCATGCTGGGGAGGGTGTCTCATGGATATTTAACAAGGGCTCTGTGATTGTCCATCCTATGGATGAATCCCCAGATATGTGACTGAATGGCAGGATGGTGGATGGAACAGATTTCCATATCTATGATTCCACAGAACTGTGTGGGAGCTAGGAAGCGTCTGCATCCTTCAGACTCAATCACTTAATTTTTGGTGTTGTCGTTAAGAAACTCCCCGCCACCTTCTCGCCCCAACTGTTGCCGAAGAGAGAAGGTCCCTCCTGCTTCCCATGCTAACGCCAGGGAAGGCTTCAGCCATCTTCCCTCCCGTTCGCCCTCATTTCCACCAAGCTGAAGAGGAGAGGGAGGGACCTGAGCTCTTTTCCCTAGAAACCTCCCCAAGTACTACATGCCTGAACTGGCTAAGAGGGTACCTATAGGTCAAAAGGCTTTCTCCCTGAGGTGGCCTGGGCCCAGTTGTCCCTCAGAGCAAAGACTTGCTGCAAATGGCCCCCTTCCCTTCCTTCTGGCCTGTAAGCACCAAGTCCCCTCCAGAATTGGGTTTCAGGTCAACAGAGAGTGAAGGGTGCATTTCTTAATGGGAGGATTGAGTGCCGGAAGAAATGGCATTCGCAATCCATTTAAGGGGCTTGTTTGAGTCTATCCATCTACCTCCTAAAAGGGCGGGGCAAAACAAGCCCTTGAACGGGGCTTCTGGGCTCAGCCTGGAATTTTTACTAGATCCAATTCCTACCTGCCCAGATTAATTTATCTGATATGTTTATTTTATTCACAGCCCTCCCCCTTTTGGATTCTATTCACTTTCTTTTTCCATTTCTACTTTATGAAGAAGGCTAAAATTCCCAGCGATTTAATTAATCTCACCAACTGTCTGGCTGCCCCAAAGGGCCTCCTCTACTGTAGTAGAAGAAAACAGTTCTTTGTGAGAAGGGGGAAAAGCCAACCCCCCCCAAATTCCTTTTTCTCTTGCCATGGAGCTCCAGAGCTGCCTGCTGCACAGCTCCTTAAGTCGACCAAATTGGGGCCAGAAGTAGGACATGTTCCCCTTTCTCGCCCCCCCCCCCACAAGCACTGGGAACAACTAGAATGTATAAGAAAACCCGACAGCTATGGTTTTATTACAAAATTTATTTTCAGATGCAATGCGAGATCAGCTGCAAAATCTCAGAGATTCTTCCCGCGCCCTTCTTGGAACTGGCCCCCACCAACATGCCCGAAATCCCGACGCCAGTGACCTCAACCCTGCATTGCATCTCCCTCTCCCCTCCCTCCCACCCTGACCCGAACTTCTCTTTGTAAAAAACCTGTGACGAACCCTGTGCCCCGGCCCTCGCTGGAGCGCACACGAGAGAGCCCGGGGTGACAGTCCCTTCTTGCACCGCCACCGCCGATGTCCAGGTTGGAGCCTTCCAAGTCACGTCGCGGTGGCTAAAGCCTTGAGGCAGAGGCTCTGCGGTCCCTTCCTCGCGGTGCTGCGACGCTTGCCAGGGCGGCCGGAGCTCAGTACAGTCCCAGGATGGCGGCGCCCACGTCCTTGGAGGGTCTGCGCTCCTGCATCAGAAAGTTGATCATGCTCTCGGACTTGATGAGCAGGTTGCAGCCCAGGAAGAAAACACCGAAGACCACGGTGAGCGACAGCACACAGAGTACGGCGATCTGCGCCACACGCGACACCCACAGGCTGCGTTCGTCGTGTTCCAGCCCTGCAGGGACCCCGTCACTGGCGGTCAGCTGTGCGCCCCCGGGGCAGCAGTCTAGCCACGTGCCCAGCCCGTGGCTGCGGTTCCCCAGGGCGGCCCGGGCGTCACCACCCGCCTCTTCCAGGCCGCTGTGGTTCAGAAAGCTCGCGTTCATCGCGGCGCGGCGCCCGGAGTCCGGGCGCGCGGTCCAGGGCGCGCCGGGAGCTGGCAGCGTCCGAGCTGTCGGGGACTCCCGGGGGGGCCCTCGATCACCCTTAAGCAGGGAGGAGAGGAAGGGGGGAGTCGGCCCACGCGCTGGCACTCTCGGACCGCCTACCTTCCCGGCGGGAAACCGGCGGCCGGGAGCAGAGAGCAACAGGCAGCGCGCGAGCCGGAGAGAGCCAACAAACAGTGCGTGGCAGTCGCCCACGGAGATCCACGCCAGCCATGCTGCTCCGCCCCTGGCAACCGCCGAGCTCCGCCCCGCCCTACCCCTCCTTGCCCCAGCCTACTCGTGGTGCCCAAACTGTGAGGACATGAATCCCTCCCAGCATACAGTCTGAGCAAATATGGTTGGCAAGGGTCAGAACGTCCAGGCAGCTCTGTCCTCGGACCAAGTAACCTTGACTTGTCCTGTCTCCCCCCCCCCCCCGAACTGTGACTCCAGAGGTGGTCTGGAACCCTTCTCTATTTAAGGTGCGCACGCGGGGAGGGGCGTAGCTGTGGCCCCCCGCGTTGCCCACTCCACTGGGCTTGGTTCTGGGTGACTAAGTCGTGCTACACTGTCCCTGCTGGGCCCTCTCCGCTTTTTCCTGACTGAAGGCTGTCACAGCCAGGAGACCTCTTGGCCTCCTATTTGTCTGGCCCCACACACCACTCCTACTTAATATATTCATCAAAATTAAATCATTTGAGGTAATTTTTATTTATTTTTTGTTTTATAGAAAGCTATTGTAGACGACTTAGAAAGCATGATTTAGCAAGAGTGAGGAAAACCCTCTAAAACTACAAAACCCTTCAGTCTGGGGTGGGTCAATTATTCTTAACCTAGGCACAAACTCTTCCCGGGTGCCTTTTTGTGTTCCACACTGCAAACGGGAATGTCTTGTCTACTGTAGTGAACATGCTGTTTTGTACCGCAAGTATCTGGCCCAGACAGTCTGTGCTATGTTTTTGGCAGCAGGATTTCTTCCGAGAAATGCTTGATTATATTCTTTGCTCATTCTTCTGATTCGACGACAGTTTAACCTGGACTTGGAGCCCGTGTCCTTGACTCCATTCAGCTGAAGCCGGGCTGTCTGATACAAAGGGTGGGAGTAGGAAGTGGGCTCCTTTCAGGGCAATGCCTTGTTCCAGTGAGCATGATCACCATACACGGGCCAATGCCCTGTTCCGTAAGCTTTCAACGATTCCTGCCTGCCCCTGCTCCCTTCCACCATCCTGGGTAGATTTCTCTGGATAACTTAGTGTGGAAGGAGGGACCAGAGATGTTTGCCTTGACCTGGAGTGTGAAGGGAAAAAGAGTTTGGGCTTGTGGACATGAACAAAGATCACCTGACTGAGAACATGCCTAGGCCATTCACTGGGATCTCACGGGACAATGCAGTCTGGGCAGGAAGCTTTCCAGTGGAGGGAGGAAAGCCCTGGGGTGGGGGTGGGGGTGTCTCAGCAGAAGAGGGACTTAGTTTGGAGAGACATATTGCTTCCCCTACCATATCCTTTAGGATTTAGGAACAAAATTAGGGAAGCTGTGGGCTGCTGTTCAAGCTCAGACCTGCTTGCCCCAGGCGCTTTGTTTGGCTTCCTGACTACTGGTTTTGTTTTCACATTGTCTGGTCACTGTGCAGATGGGGGCCTCTCAGGCTCCTCCAGTTCAGGGACAGGGGTCCTGCCTGACCTGAACACAGGCCATTGCTCACTACCTGTCTGCAACCATGAGTCCTGGCAAGGCTGTTCACAGTTTGATGTGTATGAACCCTTCATTTTTATCCTTCTCTCTCCCCGCCCCCTCTCTGTACATGTTTGGTGTCTCCCTCAACCATTCCTCCATCTCCCCCACTGCCAGGACTAAGGGTCGAATCTAGTGTGATTGAACACAAGTAAGGCAAGCATTCTATCATGGAGCTATAGCTCTAGTTCCTTCTATTTTATTTTTGAAACAGGGTCACTGAGTCTGGAGCTCACAGATTCAGCAGGGGATCTGGCCAGCAAGCTCCAGGGACCTTCCTGTCCCCCTCGGTTAGCACTGGAGTTACATGGGCACTGCCTTTTCACACAGGTGCTGGGGATCCAATTCAAGTCCCTGTGCACTTTACAGTCTGAGCCATCTTCCCGGCCTCTGAACTATTAATGTTTGTGGGAACCCTGACAAGCCAAGGCCTTCCTTATTAATGACTGCATCACAAATCCCTCCACAGTACCTGAGGGACAGTGGCTAGGCTGGGTGACTCTGGCACAGAGTCCCTTACAAGATGGTACTCCAGGTTGTGGCTAAGGCCATCTGAAAGTTAGGTTGAGGGCAGAGGACTAGCTTCCCAGATCTCTCCATCTTAGGATTTCTATTGCTGTGAAGAGACACCATGACCACAGCTCTCTCTCTTTTTTTTTAAGATTTGTTGTTCATTTATTACATATACAGTGTTCTGCCTATATGCCAGAAGAGGACACCGGATTGAATTGTAGATGGTTGTGAGCCACCATGTGGTTGCTGGGAATTGAACTCAGGACCCCTGGAAGAGCAGTCAGTGCTCTTAACCTCTCAGCCATCTCTCCAGCCCCCCACAGCTCTCTTATAAAGGAAAACATTTAATTGGAGCTGGCTTACAGTTCAGAGGTTTAGTCCATTATCATCATGGCGGGAAACACAGTGGCGCCCAGACAGACACGGTGCTGGAGGGGTAGCTGAAAGTTCTACATCTGGATCAGCAGGCAGCAGGAAGAGAGATTGAGCCACTAGGCCTGGCTTGAGCCTCCAAAACCTCAAAGTCCACCCCCAGCGACATTCTTCCTCCAACAAGGTCATACCTTCCATGGTGCCACTCCCTATGGGCCCATGGGGGCCATTCTCATTCAGACTACCAGACTCCCTCAGTGGGCTGTTGGCAGGCGGGAACCTCAGTCCCTCTCATTGGCCTTTCTATGGGGCTGTTTGACCTTCCTCAGGGCCAAACTTGGAGAATGTTCTAGAATGTGAACAACTGGCAGAAGGGAGAGGGAAGAAAAACCAAGGCTGCAAAATGAAACGCATCAGCAAGCTCACTGTTGTTCAGCTCTCACGGCAAGCCCTGGGGAGAGAAGCCCTGACCCCATGGGCACTTGGAGAAACAGCTTGTGAAGCCATGGCCGGCAGTGTAGCACAGACAGTGTATAAGCCCACAAAGCTTACAACCAAGTCCACACTCTGCAGCTCTTGATGCATGTGGATAGGCAGGTGTGGTAGATTTACGTGACTACGAATCAGTGTATTTTTCTGTGAAGGAAAGATGGGAAGTCCAAGTTGTAGGGTGGGGCCTCAGGAACACAGGAGCTGTTTGTCACCTGGGTTGCCACCATCCTCCACAGAGAAGGAAGCAGGTGCCTCTGGGCCCAGCTGCCACCCACATGGGACTATTTTTACCCTGTACCTCAGCCACAGTCTGCATCTCTCAGATCTGGAAGGGCCATGTGGACAATCTGGTCCCCAAGAGGAAGTGCCAGGGGCCACCCAGAGGCTGTAATGTCCTGTCCCTGCAGCTGTTTGGGTTAACCTTTAGCCCTCTGTCATGTGTGGGCCATCAGGGTTGGCAAGAAATGCTCTCCTCTCAGGCAAAAAGGTTAATAAAACCTCTCTTATTAGTGCTGCTGGCTAGCTGAACCCTGGGGACTAAAATGTCCTGGTGAGCAGACCTTAGAAACTATCTACACTGTAAACAGGATATAGTGTTCTGTGCACACGTGAGTTACTCTAACAGAGGTAAGACCAAGTTAACTTGTGTATCCAACTGTACCTTCTCTCCCCCTTGAAAATGTAAATAGTTGACTGGAACGATGGTGCACTTTGAGAGCCCTTGAGTGGAATGTATTCCGTGAAGCACTGCAAGCAACCCGAGTCATTAGCAAGCTCTTCCTGAAGTAGGAAAATTTGCCTTCTGCCCAGTTCCTGCCCACATGGTCTCACGTTCCCAGCTGGCAGACAGGAGGGAAGCCAATGACATTTTTACCGCATTGGGTACAGAGTTAAACACCAGTTGCTTTGTCCACCCCTTGTTCACATGATGTTGCCCCTAGGGTGCCAGCCCTATTCTGCTGCGGTAAGTGGGTAGAGGGAGGCCCTCAGACCGTATGAGCCACGATGGCCTTCCCTAAGTGGGTGGGAGAAGGGCCTGGGGGTGACGTCTATAGCTATGGAAAGGGGCAGTGCCAAAATCAGCAATGCACAGTGGAGAGCAGATACATTTGTCATAGGTATCAGGAACTTCTATGCCTCGCCCTCTTCCACCTCTCTGATTTAGGTTTGATTGACAAGGTCTTGGTATAGTGTCCAGGCTAACATGGAAGTCAAGGTGCTCCTGCCTCAATTCCTGGGTGCAGGATAACAGGTGAAACTCTATGACCAGTTGGTTCATGCTTTAGAGAATATTAGAGTTGCAGAGATCTAGAATATGTTTCTGCTGGGCTCCTGGTTGGTTGTGTGTTTTTGGACAAAGCAACCCTCTTCTCTGCGGTTTTGATTGGTTCATCCATTAATCAAGGAAGCTGGGGAGACAGCACAGCAAAGTGCTTGCCTGGCAAGCATGAGGGCCTGAGTTTGATCCTTATAAACCATGTTTTTAAAAAGGTGGGGACATATCGGCACAAACTTGTAAAACCCAGAGCTCAGGAGGCCAAGACAGGAGAATTCCTGAGACTCACTGACCACATGGCCTAGCCGACTTGGTGGGTTCCTACAAGCAAAGACGCTATCTCAAAAAAGTGGGGTTGACAGTGCCTGAGGAACAAGCCCTGAGGTTGATCCCTGACCTGCACATGAGTGTGCATGTACAGACACACACACACACACACACACACACACACACACACACACACACACGGGGGGGGGGGAGGGGGAGAATCTCCATTAAAACTTTACTTACAAGAACAGATTAGTGGACCAGGCAAGCTGCTGTCTGCTTTCCTATGCTCTGTGTATGGGTGTATGGAGAAGCATGAAGCCCAAGACCTTTGTCTGGTCTGTCCCCAAAGTGCCTGAGCTTCATGACCCCATCTGTAGGTGAGGAGGTTGGTCATTTTCTGCAGTCCTCAAACTGTCCTCTCAGGAGCAGTAGTTCTGTGAAGTCTGACACATAAGAGACACGGACCCAAACAGGTTTCTTTGCTGCAAGACTTCTCTGGGTTGTAAGCATGTGGTAAGTTTTGGGAGCTCCCCATGGGGAATCGGGATGTGGCATTTGAAAATGGGACCCTCCCATATCAACTGCTATTTTGTGCTACAAAGTACCACCTAGAATACTTTGGGAAATACTCTGAAGCTTCCCTTAAGCCTCAGTTTCTTTGTGCAGAACATTGACGATGCTTCAAAAGTTAGATAAGGCCATGCCTGGAAACAGGCCCGGCACAGCACCTGGCACAGAGTAAATGCTCAATAAACGTTGGTAGCTATTATCTGTAACGAGGTCCTTCCTTTCCAGCGCTGACATTCTGTACTTCCAACTGCAGCATGTAATTAAACCGTAAAGCATCTGGCTTCCCGAGCACAAAGAACAAGCCTGGAGGAAGGAAAAGCGAGCAGGAGACGGCTCCTTCTGGGCTGCCCATTTGTGCACCAGCCTCCCCACCAGCAAGTACAACAGGGAATGGAGCAAGATGCCAGCCTTAATGACAGGGCTTGAGGAGCCTGCGGTTCCCTGTTAGCGTGGACCCTTGGGGGATATTTGCCAGCGCAGACAGCTGGAGGGAAAATCAGGGCTGCTTTATGGTTGTTGAAGTTTGAATAGGGTTGGAATGTCCCCCAAGGGTTCATGTGTTGATGACTTTGTTCCTGGTGTGGTGGCACTAGGAGATGGTGGAACCTTAAAGACTAGGCGTGGTGGCTCACGCCTGTATTACCAGCACAGGGAGGGGTGGGCTAGCAGGCTCAGGCAGGTGAACTCCCATGTGTTCCAGTAAAGCCTCGGCTACAGAACGAGGCTTTGTTTCACTAAAACAAAAGGAAGGGCTTTGGGATATAGCTCAGCTGGTAGAGCACTTGAATAAGGCCCTGGGCTTGACCTCCAGCATGGTATAAACCAAGCGTGGTGTTGCAGGCCTGTGACTCCAGACCTGGGGAAACAGAGGCAGGTGGATCAGAAGTTCAAGGTCATCCTCTCTCTGCCACCTGTGAAGTTTGAGGCTCACTTGGGATATCAGTGCCCCGTCTCAAAACAGAGAAAAGGGCGTCACCTCTGCGAAATCACTGTGTGCAGAACAGTCCCTGCCACAAGGAGCCCAGGCCAGAGGGGAGGACAGAGAAACTTGGTAAGGGCAAGCTGGTTAAAAATTATACCTAGGGGCAGACAATGCATGTTGGGCACCCAGAGGAGAGGCCAACGCCACAGGCTAATGGAACACAGGAGGAGAAGCTCCAGTTGATCTCCCACGTGGCTTAGAGACGCCAACTCTGGCTTAAGCATGGGAAACCATTCCCGGGCTTTGTGAACACATGCAAGGGCTCAGCACTGGGTCTCCAAGGTAACAGGATGGTGATCAGATGCTGGCCCGAGGAAGGACCAGGCATGCAGTGTCTCTCATCATTTGTATCAGGACCTGTGAAGACAGGAAGTGATTTCACATTCAGTAGTTTAGGGAAAGAGTTTGAATCCTGAGCATCAAACAAGTTTTTGTGGCACAGGCATGGGGACTTGCTCTGGCCGAGTGTACTCAGTCTTGTTAAGAAAGCATGACCTGGGGAAAATGGGTGATAATTGCTTTGTCTGCCTGAAACACCACCCACTGTCTTGCGGAATTTCTTTTCTCCAATGCAGCCAGTTACAGTATGAATTGCCAATGATCCATTCTTTCTTTTCCGGAAACAAAGGGCCCATGAGTGCCTGGGCTAATCCCAGGCCCTCTTCCACCTGAGCTGTTCAGGTGCAGGGATCCATTCGCCTGTGACCTATTAGGTAACCACAGATGAATCAGGAATTCACATTTTCCACAAACTAGCCATATGACTTCTTCTGGCCAATGAGACAACTGAAAAGGTAAAGCAAGGGGCAGGCTTGAGAAATGCTTGTTTCTGGGACTGGTTGTCTTGGTGCACTCACTTTATGATCTTAACTGCTATAGTTAAGATTTCAATGATATGGGGCCTTTGCTTGCAGTACCCATGGAGGCCAGAAGTGGGCGACGGACCTTTGGGAACTGGAGTTACTGCCCAGTGGTCATGTGGGTGCTGAGAAGTGAACCTGGGTCCTCTGGAAGAGCAGCCAGTGCTCTTAATTGCTGAGTCATCTCTGCAGCTCTTGGCTGGATGAATTTTATAATGTTTCATTTGAAAAATGATCCTGCTTCTGAAAATAACTTAAAACCACCATCACAAGAAAATGATTGCTTAATACTACAAGGGTTAGTTTTAAAGGAGACACACCATACATTGTTGTTTATACAACAGATCAGTGATGAGCTGGTGGACCACATCTAGTCACCACCTATTTTTGCAAAGGAAGTTTACTGCATCACAGACTCATTCATGGGTGCATTATCTATGGCTGCACTTGTGCCATGGTGACCGTTCCCACAGGGACCTTATGGACTACAAGGGCTAAAATAATACTATGTAGAACTTTATTTAAAAACTGGTTGCTACCTCGTGCTCCATAAGCATTTTAAAAAGGGAACTGGGTTGGAGAGATGGCTCAGCTGTTAAGAGCATGTATTGCTTGAAGTAACATTGAACATCAGCCATACCGGCATTGCTAAAGGAAGACATTATATGCTTGTGATAGTTATCTGTAATTGCTAATATAACCTAGAATCATCTAGGAAGGAGTCTCAGCAAGAGATTATCTGCCTTAGATTGCCCGTGGGCATGTCTGTTGAGGGTTATCTTAACCAAGTCAACCGATAAGGGAAGAGACTGCCCAGTGTCGGCAGTGCTGTTTCTTAGGCTAGAGACCCTGAACTGTTTAAGAGTGGAGAAACCAAGCTGATAACAAGGCAATCGGACAGCATGCATGATTCACTGGGTTGTGATATGACCAGCTGTCTCAAGCTCTTTTTGTGGTGACTTCCCAGTAGCAATGGGCTGTAACCTGGAATTGCAATGATGATGTCCCAGTAGCAATGGGCTGTAACCTGGAATTGCAATGGTGATGTCCCAGTAGCAATGGGCTGTAACCTGGAATTGCAATGGTGATGTCCCAGTAGCAATGGGCTGTAACCTGCAATTGCAATGGTGATGTCCCAGTAGCAATGGGCTGTAACCTGCAATTGCAATGGTGATGTCCCAATAGCAATGGGCTGTAACCTGCAATTGCAATGGTGATGTCCCAGTAGCAATGGGCTATAACCTGGAATTGCAATGGTGATGTCCCAGTAGCAATGGGCTGTAACCTGCAATTGCAATGGTGATGTCCCAGTAGCAATGGGCTGTAACCTGCAATTGCAATGGTGATGTCCCAGTAGCAATGGGCTGTAACCTGGAATTGCAATGATGATGTCCCAGTAGTGACTTGACTGTAACCTGGAATTGCAAGCTAAAGCAAGTCTTCTCTCCTAAGCTGTTTGTTGTCAGGGTATTTAGCCACAGCAACATAAATAAACTAGGAAAATACCTTTGGGGAGATAACTAGACCCGACAAACTTTTAAACTTTCATCTGATTAGGCATCTAGACTCGACTATCACTGAACAGAAAATGAAAACTTATTAAGCCACCTCACAGATTTGCAACATGTGATGTGGCTACTTCAAATAGCAAACTGTAGAGCTGGACATTGGTGCTCAACGGTAAGCCCACCAACACTTGGGAGGTGAAGGCAGAAAAAGAACCGTGAGGTTTGGGACTAGCCTGGGTTACAGAGGGAGTTCTTGTCTCAAAAAGATAAAAACAATTCTATCCATGTGAGTGCCCTTGAGAAGCAGCTTAGCCCACATGTTCAAATCCTGTTTGGCTTTAGGCTGCCTCCTACCAGCTTGGAGAGTTTGGGCATGATGTGAGCCTCTCTGAAGCTCATTCTTAGGAGCACTCTGAAGATAAATGGGTTCCCCTGTGGTGGTGCGGAGCATTGCATCCCTGCTAGCAGGGTTCACTCAGGGTCAGTGTCTGTTCTCGGAAGGCTCCTCTGCCTCATCCCACGGGCACTCCACCATCTCTTCCCATCTGCATTAACTCTCTTTCCCTTCTCCTTTACTGAGTCATTCATTCCAGTGCCACACTGTTTACCATGTGCTAACCAGACTAGCTAAGCCTGTGATGCTGCAGCAACTGGCCCCATAAATCACTCTGCTTCCTAACCATGGGGCTCCAGGCAAAGTGAATGGGAGATTTCTCTAAAGATGCCCTGAGAATCACAAGCCTCTGATACCATCGCCAGCTCTACAACCCAAAAAATTGTGACTACCCTTGCTGGAGTCAGGACCCTCTTTTTACCGAGATCTGGGGATGCAGGGAGGTCTCCTGGTGCTGATGGACTGGCAAGGTAGAATCAGAACCAGAGACCAAGGCTGAAATCCAAAGGTGTAGCACAAATAAAGGGAATGGTAGCAGCCAACAGGGGGAGGTTAGGGCATCTAAGGGAAGGCACTTCTGAAAACAAACTCTGAAACCTTGCACACAGGCTGCTTCTGCCCTCTAGTGGCTGCTGGTTAGCATAACAAGTATGAGCTTCGAGATGGTGGACATGGTTTCCTGACTTCTAAACAATGCTGTGTTTCTCAATCATGCCTGACCCACAATCTCCTTTCCACAAATGTATTTTGTTTAATGACAGTAATTTATAAATATTTTCTTCAGAGTCCATCTGAAGTACTGCCATGCTATAACAGGAAGTTCTTCTTTGTTAGCACACAACAGAGACACAATTCAAAAAATTTTTTTTATGGAAGAAGGGATACTACTGAGCCCCAGATAGCAGAAGGAAGGTGTATGTGGGTCCCTGGAGGGTTGCCTCTGGAACTGGATCCTGGTCCAGACTTCACAAAGGCTGTGCCCACAGAAATTCAAAACGCAGTCTCTGGGTCCTGTGCAAAGCCCCACAGATCTGCAGAGTTCCAATTCAGAATACAAACATAAACACACACCCCTGCAGCCCAGGGGCAGAGGCCTGTGACTGGCAGGTCCTCCTAAGAAGCCAAGGTGGTCCTGTTCCCAGAAAGGAAGGTAGGTAGCAGGGTTTTGCCTGTTGGTGTCCCTTACGTGGGACACCTTGCCTTCCAGACCCATCTGCCATTTATTTCTACCTAAAGCTTGGACAGTTTGCACAGTTCAAACCAACATATTTATGAGAGTGATGACATCACAGAACCAGGGTTCCAGAAGGCTGGGGTGACCAAGAACACGTGCCTTCTTGAGAAGAAGGAGAACTATTAGCCAGATGGGGCTGGAGAGTGCTTGGTGAGGAAGAGGAGGCTCTTGCCACAAACCAGCTTGTCCTATAGATCCTCCCAGAAGGCCCTGGGCCAGAGAGGTAGGTAGACTTGGAATCTGAATAGGGCCACATGCTGGGACCACTGTCACCCCAAGGGGGAATTCCTGGGGGGTTTAACGGACTGAAGCAGACCTTTCAGCAATCCATGCTCTGAGAAAACTATCTCTGAGGGACATTCTGAATCAGAATGGGGAGGATTGCATGACACATCTATCAGTTAAACAGGATTTACCTGAAATCCTAATTGGACAGGGCCATTTGTTCTATTTGCAACAATAGAGCGGGGTAGTGAGAACAGCCAAAGAATGTCCTCAGTGCATGCTGTATGGCAAAGACAGACAGAACAAGAGACTAGGAGGCAAGTGAGGCCACCAGAGAAGCCATCTTGCCCCAGTAGACGCTGAAGGGAAGGTGGAGGGATCCTGGCCTTTGCCCTCAGTCTCATACACCTGGGTTAAAGGGAAAGACACACATCCTATGACGGGACTAGCCCCCATGTGCTCTCATGGAATGAGCATTTTGAAGGAGAGAACCCAGTTATAGATATTCCCTTCTTCATTTCTTCATGATTAGACTCAGGCTTCCCATCCTTGGCCAGAATACCTCATAAGAGTTTATGTATCTAGAGGTACAGAGTGTCCCTCTGTCCCTCCCTGACAATGCTAATTTTAGTTGCAAGGTCAAACCATTGTCTGGATTTTGCTAAGTAATATGGGAGGACCAAGGCCATGTACACAAGCCCTGCTATTTCTCTAGCTCCCACCATCTCAGACTAGGTGCCCATGGTAGCTCTTGTTCAAGCCAATTATTATGCCCACACCATGTTCCTATTGTAGCCTAGAAATCTGCCACATTCCTAGGAGTCCTGGTTCCACTTTGTAAGGAATGAAAACCAACATCTTGGATGTTTATTATTTATCTTAATCATTACATCATTTTGATTGAGTAGGTATTAATAAATAAATCTTCATTTTACACCTGGGTCCAGAGAAGTAAGTATGTTGTTAAAAGTCACACAACAGCCCACCCTTTGATAGCTGGCAGTGGGTAGGAATTCAGAGACCTTGATCTGCAAACACACTGGTGCTCGCTAGCACGCGCGCGCACACACACACACACACACACACACACACACACACACACACAGAGAGAGAGAGAGAGAGAGAGAGAGAGAGAGAGAGAGAGAGAGAGAGAGAGAAGCAAGCAGAGAAGCGCAGGTAATTTCTATAACAAGATCACTTTTACTTGCTTTCTGATATGCATCTTGAACAGAAACAAACCAATGGAACCTACAAGTAGCCCACCAGGAATTGCACCAGGCATGGTCTCATGTGTCTAGAGTATGGGTTGGGGGAGTTTGGTACTCAGTGTTCCAGTCCTTCCTCTGAATACACACCACAAATGCTGGTGAAGCATAATCTGCTCTACTCTCCTTTGCCAACCTCACTTGCCATCCTGGCACCCAAGCTCTGCCTGTGCCTCTAACTACTCAATACCCATTACAGGAGGACCTGCAGACGAAGGCAGAGTGGTCTTGATTTTGAGCTGTTGAATCTGGGCAATGGGTATATGGAGGATCACAAGATTACTCTCTCCTTTTGTGTTTCAATTTTCTGTGGCCAAAAACATGAGGAAAAAGTGAGCTGAATGTGGTGGCTCTTGCCTGTGACACTAAGGTTCTGGAAGCAGAGGCAGGAGGATGGCTGAAGGCCAGCCTGGTTACATCCTGAGTTCCAGGATAGGCTTGGGTTGTAAAGTGAGATTGGGGTGGGGGACACTGAAACTCACCAGGCCTTGGGCATTGAGTGAGCAGGAAATGTGGTTTCTCTCTTCAGATTCCCCAGGCTCTCAGAGACTGGCAGCCTCCTTGTTCCTTTTGGTGATGATGAGGGTGCTGTTTATCTGCATGGCAAGTTGCCTCCTGGTGGTGAATGGTGGAAACACCATCAATCGCTGTGCCTTGGCCAAGATACTGCACGAGGAGGACTTGGATGGGTTTGAGGGCTACTCCCTGCCGGACTGTGAGTGCCACAGTCTCAGCCTCTCTTCACCCCTCCTCTAGTTTTCTTACCCACCTTCCTGTCTTTGCCATTTGCCTTTCAAAGTCAAGTTCACAGAACCGTCTCCCCCCACCAAGATGCCTTTCCCAACATACCACATTTAAATCAACGGCTATTAACTGAACACTTATTATGCATGTGTATAAATGTGTAAATCAAATCCTTTCCCTCACAGTGATCACATTCTAGGAGGGCAGCAACAAGCACGCACACAGATGTAAGGTATTGACTGGTGGTGACAAATGCATTGCGTACATGAAATAGGCTTATGATAGAGTCGAAAGCAAGAGGGCTGCTATGAGGCCAACCAGGGCTAGGCAGCAAGTTCTTGTCTCAAAAAAAAAAAAACACAGACGAAAATGACTTAAGCAGTCAGCAGGAGGCTCAGCAGGAAAAACACATTCCTTGTATGTCTGAGAATTGAGTTTGTTCCCTAAAGCCAACGTTTTCTAAGTGGGAGCTGGAGAGATGGCTCAGCAGTTAAGAGTGTGTTCTGCTCCTCCAGAAGACCTGAGCCTGAGTCCCAGCACCCATGTCAAACAGCTCACAAGCATCTGCAACTCCGTCTCCAGGGGACTTGACGTCTCTGGCCTCACGGGTACTCTGAAGTCACATGCACACAGACACCCATGTGCTCACACACATAATTAAGCATGAATCTTTTTGTCCACACCTATAATCCCAGCACTCTACGGTAAAATGAGTGGCAGAGAAAGGGAAAGCACCAGAAGCTCACTGGCCAGCCAGCATGGAGTCCACAGTGCAGCTACAGAAGCAAGAAAGGCCTTGACCCAACAGGGAGAAGGGGAGAACTGACTCTCAAACGTTGTCTTCTGACTTCAACACGCATTCTCATTTTCTCTCTGCCTCTCTGTCTCTGCCTGCCTACCTGTCTCTGGCCCCCTCTACACACTTAAAAAAAACCTTAAAAAATAACTACATGCACAAAGGAACCATTTAAATGAGGAAGTCAGGGGCTTCTGAGGAAGTGACACTGAATGAAATGGCCCCAGATGTCTAGAGGGCAGGCATTCCAGGCCAAAGGAACAGCCAGTACAACGCTTCATCCTTGATTCTGCATGGAAGGGATCTCTCCTTTGTACCCAAAATTTGTGCTCACCTGCCCTGTGACACATTCTCCACATAACCTGGTGTGTGTGTGTGTGTGTGTGTGAAGCCCATACTTTTGTTCTATCTGTACTTGAAGTCAACACCAGTCTATTAGGCTGTGCATAGTTCCTGGCACACAGTAGGTACTCAGCAAGGGCAGAAAACCTAAGTGGGTGGAAAGATGGGGGATGGCTACACATATGGATAGGGAAATGGCCTGAAGCCTGTGGGTATTTCTAGCTCTTGGGGACTATCTAGCCTCTTGGGCCTCGTTCTCTCTCCTGATTCCTTGCCTCCCCACCGCCCCTTTTTTTCCAGTCAACTCCTTCCCATTCAGTTTGTATTCTCCCTAAAGCCCGAGCCTCTTCTCTTTTCCAAGGGCTGTGCCTGGCTTTTGTGGAAAGCAACTTCAACATCTCAAAGGTGAATGAGAATGTAGATGGCAGCTTCGACTATGGGATCTTCCAGATCAACAGCCATTACTGGTGCAACGACTATCAGAGTCACTCGGAGAACTTCTGCCACACAGACTGTCAAGGTCTGGCTGGGAGCCCTAGGGTGGGAGAGGTGAGAGAGGAGACCAGGCTCTACTCTTAATGGCTGGGAGTGGCACTGCAGCCACACTGTTATATATTGAGCATTATCACATGCATAGATCATTTTATCCACCCTTCTACACAGTAGAAACTGCTTATGATCCCTGCTTCCCAATGAGCAAATTCAGGCTCAGAGAACAGAGCCAGGTACACTGTCATTAGTGCCACCTACAAGCCTGGCCTGGGGCCATTCAGTGAGATGCTGTCTGAGGAAGGGAGGGAGGGAGAGAGAGGGGAAAGAAAGGAAAGAGGGAGGGGAGGAGGGAAGGAGGGGCAGGATGAAGGGATGGAGGGAGGGAAGGAGGGAAGGAGGGAAGGAGGGAGGCAGTTTTGAAAAGAATGTGACTTGTGTCCTTGGGTGCTCAGGTATAACCATTCACTTGTACCCAGGTTAATGGCCACAACGAAGGCCAGGTACAAATTTCTTGCCTCAAAGCTAATCCAGGAGGCTTGACAGGGCTGGTGACTCCTTCCTACCCTAACATCCCTGGGCTTCTCACCTACAGACCCCCCCTATAAACAGGACTTTTTCTTGGTCTGCGTGTTGTCTGTTTTTATACCCCCTTTTCCCCAGAAATCCTGAAAACTTTGGGTGAAAACTAGAGGAATAGTGGTGGGCAGGCTCAAATCTCCTCCTGGCCTCACTTCCTATTTCTGGCAGCCACTGTAGGGTATCTAAATGTGTCCCTAGGATGGAGGCCTGGCCTAATCTGGAAGTGCTCTCAGGCCCTTAGTTGACAAGTCCTCTATCTGGTCTTTGGGATTAGCCTTTGTGCACATCACAGGTGACCTCCTCTTTCTTTTCAGAACTACTGAATCCCAACCTCCTTTCATCCATCCACTGTGCGAAAAAGATTGTGTCTGGATCAGGAGGGATGAAGAACTGGTGAGGGGGATGGGTGGGATTGAGTTAGTGGGCACTGCCTCAAGAAAGAGCATGACAGAGTAAGGGGCAGTGGACAGGGGCTCGTGGTCAATCCCATACAGAGGTTTAGAACAGTATGGAGCTGGAGAGATTGCTCAGTGGTTAATACTTTCAGAGGACCCACAGCGAGACAGATCACAACCATCAGCAACTCCAAAGCTAGGGGAACCAATGCCCTCTTCTGGCCTACATTGGCATTGCATGCATGTGATACACAGACATAAATCCAGGTAAACACTCTTACATACAAAATAAAAATAAAAATCTCAAAAATTTAAAGACAGGATAGTGGATGATCTTAATACTCTTTGTCATAAAACCTGGGTTTTTTCTCTGATATTGTATTAATCACTTTTTTTTTAGTGTTTTGGTTTTTCAAGACGGGGTTTCTTGAAACAGCCCTGGTTGTCCTGGAAGTTGCTTTGTAGACCAGGCCGTCCTGGAACTCACAGAGATCTGCCTGCCTCTGCCTCCTGAGTGCTGGGATTAAAGGTGTGCGCCACCACTGCCCTGCAGTCAACAATTTTGATTGTACTAAGACAAAGCAGCTTGAGCTAGCAGAGGGAAACTTATTTGTTCATATATTTAGATACTTTGTTACTTATTTTTAGTTCCTGTATGTGTGTGCTATGCACCTCTGCATACATGTATGTGGAGGTCTGATGTTGATGGCAGAAGTCTTCCTCAATCTCTCTTCACCTTATTCGTTGAGGCAGAGTCTCCGAATTGGCTAGTCTGGCTAAGCACTTTGCTCCAGGAATCCCCTGAACACTGAAATCAGAGGCAGACAAGCCCACCTGGCACTTATGTGGGTTTTGGGGGGATAATTCCAACTCTGGTCTTACACTGTGAACCATTCCCCAGCCCAGAAATTTATTTTGAGAGAAGGTTTCTTACCGAGCCCACTCAAGGCATGCAGCTGGGTCTCAGGAGAAGGTTGGAACCTCAAGAGAGGCTGGAAAATAGACAGAGGCTTCTCATGGCCAGTTCTGCTTTCATCTCACATTCAAGTCACCATTCTCTGCAGACCAGCATCCTCTGGTCCCCAATCCACAAGACAGACAGCATCCCAAGTCTATAACTTCAAATCCGAAGTGGACCAGTTAGTCAAATTCTAGTCAAAGTTCCTGAGATAGCAACGCTAATTGATTCATTGCGAACCAGTGTTTTCCCCTTTGATCCAACTGGCAGAAAGCATAGCAAAGCTGAATACAGATGTGTTTCCTGCAGGGGCCCCTCTCATAATAAACAACATTTCCTGTTTAAAAAAAGGGGGTTCTTTAGTGGCACAGGTACCCCAAAGTTTTCAGTTACTCAAAGCAGAATGCATAGGGGACCACTTAATCTTTTCAGTGCTTCAAACTGGACATATAACTAATGCAAAGGCCCCACATTGGTAAGAATGTAAAGAATACTAGTATTGCATGCTCAAAACAAGATCCAGGAAGTAATTACTATTAGGGCTGATCCTTTTTGAAGGGGAGGTTCAAAGATTGAAACTAGGATTTTGTTTTAATTAACTCCAAATCTTATAGAATAGTGACACCCACCTTAAAAGGGAAATAAGGAATTAAAAATGTATATACTTGAAGGGGACCTGGGTGTTGCTCTGCAGGGAGGACTCTCTAGTCCTATACTAGGTATGTGGAGAAGCAGCCAATTAAACAGAGAGCAAAACCTTCTCTTTTTACTCCACAGGGTAGAATGGAGGTTGCACTGTTCAGGACGGCCACTCTCCTATTGGATGACAGGATGCCATCTGGAATGAACCAGAGTGCAAACCCACTGGAGAGTCACTCCAGGACCCCTGTTCTACTTGGAGATTCTTCACTATTTCATCTCCTTGCCTTCACCTCATATTTTTTCTCTTCCCACTAACAAGTAAAACTGGCCAGAGTCCCGGTGGAAAAATGTCTTACCAAGGTTCCCTGCTTGTGTTCATCCAGGCACAGTTCCTTTGTTCCTATCATTTGCAAACCAAGAAGATGTCAAATAAATACAATTATTTTCTAAATGAATTAAAGCACACTGTGCAAAGAATGTGTTTAGTTATTAATTCCACTTACATTTGAGTACCTACCACTTTAAGAGTGTTCTAGGCATGAGAAAAAGGAAGACAAATATATCTGTTGCTCTTTAGGTATTCATAATTAAGTTGGTGAAGGAGAGACAGCCATAAACATTATAGTGGGTGATAAAATGTTTACTAAAATCTATACTCATTGGTTAGATACAGTACTGAGCTATTAGTAATTACACCCAGACAATTATTTTCAAGGGTTAATAGGAGATTCAGACATAGGTATTCAGTGGTGCTGAGATCTGGCATTGAAATGGAGAAAATCATACTAAGATAAAGATATGGTAACAGGTGCCAGTGATGTGGAGAGATTGAACAGGAATCTAGATTATTAAAAAAAACTATTACTACTACTACTAAAAAAAGTAGAAGAAAACCAGCAAAATGATTCAGCAGGCAAGAGTGCTCGTTGCCAAGTCAGATGACAAGAGTTCAATCCCAGGAATCTAAATGGTAGGCTAAAACTGACTCCTGAAAGTTGTCCTGCCTTACATACACACTTGTGCCATGGTGAAAGCTTGTCTGGATAGGATCTGATTGGTTTGGCAAGGGTAGATATGGAGTATAATTTGCTTAAAGACAAGACAAAGGCAAAAAAGGGACAGTTGGAGTAATGTCCTGCACACAGTCACTATCAGTAGTTACAAAGAACCTGATATTCACTAACTCCCTGACTTCTGTACTTCACAAGCAAGTAGGAAGTCAGGTCAATAACTAAACCAGAAGGGCCCCATATTAGACACTTGTCTTGCTGCTGTGCCAAAGTACCTGGAAGACCAAGGGTCTTATTTTTATTTTTAATATTTTGGCTCACAGTTTGAGGGGGCCAGTCCTCCACGGTTGACATGTGAGTCAGACAGTTGGTCACATGACATCTGCAGTTAGAAAGCAGAAAGAGAGGCATGTGGATGCTTAGCTACCTCACTTTCTCTTTTTTGACTGGTCCAGAACCCAAGCCCAAGGGACAGTGCCACCCACCTTCCTCAGTTAAAACTTCCCTGGAAATACCCTCCCAGACATACCCAGTGGTGTGTTCCCATGGTGATGCTAAATGTAGCCAAGCAGATAAAGATTAATCACAAACTCAAACTTGATTTCAATACTTCATTAAGAAGATCATGACTAGTCTCAGCATTTTTTTGTAAAATAATCTTTAGCATCAAATTGTTATGGAAGTCATACAAGCAGGAGAATGGGATATAATACAGTTAATTTTATAAAATTAAAAAACTTATATTGTTAGTGCTGAAGAGATGGCTCAGTGGTTAAGAACACTGGCTGTTCTAGAGGACACAGGCTCAATTCCCAGCACCCACATGGAGGCTCACAACTGCCTGTAATTCCTGTTCCAGGGGATCCAACATCATCTTCTGGCCTCCGTGGGCAACAGGTATGTATGGTGCACAGTCATTAAAACACATTTCCTGTCCTTTTGTTATTTTGTTGAGGACAGGTGAAAACGTTATCAGAGACCAGCATGGACCTGAGGGCTGTCATTTAGAACTCACAAGTCCTACAGAGTCCTTTTATCCTCTGAAACCTAGAATTGTTGAGCCTTAGGCCTCACCTCTCAGACAATATAAGTTTTAATTTTATAAAATGAAGTGTACTATATTCCACTCCTGCATTATATCTCATGGAACACCTTTCTTAGATGCCATCCGCTCCAGTATTTCTTTGGATCCATTCTGATCTCTTTTCCAATTTACTTATCAGTTAGCTCGCAGCTCCTCACACCCTCCAAACTCCACATACACACACCACCAGAAACTCTGGGACAAGCAGGAACACGTCTTGAAAGATTTCACGCAGGTCGCCTAGGGGTTGAGTTCTGCTTGGTTACAACATATTTAAAACTCCTTAAAGTTAACCCAAAGGATCCCATCTTTAGAAGTCATTTCCCACCAGTTCAACAGTGACCACTACCTACTATTTTAGTCTCTTCCCGAAGAGAAGACGAAGCCTGCGGGATCCTGTATGTCTACCCTTAAAAATACGCTTGGGTAGGAGCCTACGGGTCAACGCTATCGCTGGAGTTGGGGCGGCTGTAGCAGAGGACTACACAACAGAGAGAGGGTAAGGACGACGCTGGCGCTGGCACGCCGCCGGCCACACCCCTTGCACGTGCACTGGTGCAGGCGTGCGAGCGCAGGCGCAGTCAGGGTAGGAAGTAGGGGTTGCACCTAGAGCGCGAAAGCGTTGAGTGGAAACTTGAGTTTTGGCAGAGGCCTGGCGTATGAGGGGCTGCGCTGAGGGGGAGGATGGACGAGGCACCTCCGGTGCCTGGAGAGTCCGGGTTCCTCCAGCTTGGAGCTTCGGCTACAGGTATTAGGGTCGGACTCGGTGTCTAGGTCTAGGGGACCCGGTGGGCAGTGAGCCAGCGCCCTTAGCGCCCTCGTCGCCTTCTCAGAAGAAGCCTCTGTCCCTGCAAGGAGAAGTGCCCCCAGTGGAGAAGGGCGGGGACTCGTGGGAACTGGGGAGGGAGAGCAGCGCCCACATGGTGGGCCTCCCACAGCATTCTCTGTCTGTTCACAGCGTTCTCCCTGTTTGGCCTTCTGTACATAACCCGTGTCTTCCCGAACGAGGGACAGAGGGACACACAGACCTGACCTCCCCAAAGGCATGGGACCTGACCCCCCACTTCAGATGTAGCCCGTGAAGGTGGGTAGAAATGCCAGAGCTGTAGTGAAGTTCAGCCATGAGCTAGCATTCCTGCGGCTCACACAGTGCTTCCCCATGCATTTCACCGAGCCGGGATCTCTCTCTCTCTGTCTGTCTGTCTGTCTGTCTGTCTGTCTGTCTGTCTGTCTGTCTCCCTCTCTCTCTCTCTCTCTCTCTCTCTCTCTCTCTCTCTCTCTCTCTCTCTGTCTCTTCTCTCTCTTCTCTCTCTCTCTCTCTCTCTCTCTCTCTCTCTCTCTCTCTCTCCTCTCTCTCTCTCTCTCTCTCTGTTTCCCTCCCTCCCTCCCTCTCCCTCTCTCTGTCTTTCTGTCTCTGTCTCTGTCTCTCTCGTCTCTTTGCAACAGTGACTGCTGTAAAGAGGTCAAACTCAAGTGTACTCACGTAGAATATTCCTTCCGCATCAGTTTCTGTTGCCTTTAAGTTTGAGAAATGACAGAAGATTAGCTTTTGTTGCTTTTCTACAGATTTAAGATGTGTGAGTTTGACAAACGGTCAGTTGTAACCCTTCACTTCCCAGAATGTAGGCTCCTTTAATGTGTTGTAGAAACCCTCTTCCATGTCATCATGGCAACCGATTTAATTTCTCAGAGCCTGCTTCAGGGCCACGTGTCACTGTGTCTCTCAATTCAAACACCTGTCCTTTTCAAGGACCATTTCAATGAATGAGCTGATCTGTCCTTGCTGCTTATTTTTGCCCATGTAGCCTCCTCATCGACTTTTATTGGATGTGAGAACTTTACTCAGTAGGGATCCTTGCTCTACTGTCGCTGCTTCTGTATATTGTTCAATACCTTCTTCCATCTTTGATCATCCGCTTCTACTGACTGAAGAGATCATCTGTCAGGCATTGTTTAATTATTTAATTGTGGTCTATTTCTAACCTGTGACCAGGTCCAGGCATTTATGTAGTATAGATGTCACTGGAGACATTACAAAACAGTAGTGAGTTTTTCCTGCTTTTTGGAAACTGGGACTATTTCATAAATCTTAGATTTTAAGAATTTTACAAGCCAAGCCCATCACTGAATAAGTGAAATCATACTTATTGCAGAGTCTTGGGTTACTATTACTTGCCTTTGCCTTGTTACCAGTTTAAGTTTTTTTTTTTTTTAGCTTTGGTGCCATACAGGTAGTTCCTGCCTTGTTCCCCCTGACACACACCTTTTTAGATATAGAAAAGAGAATGATGTTCTCAGCGACAACTACGGTAAGCTTGCCAAAGTAACAGCTCTGTGCTTCCTGCCTGTCCAGAAAAGCCCCAATGTGACCCATCACATAGCCAGTCTCCCTTGTAGTACTGGGCATTTCAGCTTTCTAACAAGCAGTTTTAGATGTCAGAGAGAGAAATTTCATTTTTAAGTCATTTATTTATTCATTCAACTGATACACTATCAATCCTTTATTCATTCATTCAGCAGACATACTATCAATCCTCTATTAGATGGTGTGGACTGTGCTTGGTTCTGGGATAATAAAAGAACAAAATACTGGCATTTTTAGTGCTCATTGGGTGCTTATTAGCTTAAGGACTGGTGACAGAGAATTAAGATGCATAAACAGATCTGCAAGTTACTAATAATGCTTTGACTTATTTTGTATTGTTCAACTTTTAGGAATATATATATATATATGATAGTTTGAATGTAATTGCCCCCCAAAACCTCATAGGAAGTGGCACTATTAGGAGGTGTGATTCTTGTTGGAGTGAGTATGGCCTTGTTGAAGGAAGTGAATCATTGTAGGGGTGAGCTCTGAGATTTCCCATGCTCAGGTTACCGCCTAATGTCTCAATCAACGTCCTATTACCTGCAAGTTGAAATGTAAACACCACTACATCTGCCTGCACACTGTCATGCTCCCTGTCATGATGATAATGGACTGAACCTCTGAAACCAGCTCCTCAATTAAATATTTTCTTTATAAGAGTTGCCATGGTCATGGTGTCTCTTCACAGCAATAGAAACTTAACTAAGACAATATGACAATTTTCGAAATTGAAGTAGACATCTTGAAAGAACTAGTGCTGTCTACTGTACTATAAGACTGGAAATTAGTTTAATTGATAAAGTGAGTGCTTGCCTAGCATGAAGCACTGAGTTCTATTTCTAGCACCACATTAAAAAAATCAAAGGTGGGCATAACAGTACACATCTCTAACCCCAACACTCAAGAGTTGGAGATAGGAGGGTCAGAAGTTCGGCATTGTCCTGGGGCTAAGAAGAGAATCCAGCTATATGAGACCTTGTCTCACAAAAGAAAAAGAAAATCCACAGTGACTTGTAAAGTATTTAAAGTTAACATTAGGAAGAATTTGTATTCTCACAGAAGTGTATCAATGCAGATGAGACTCTGGTAGTTTTAGTTACTTGTAAAATTCATAGAGATAGGTGCATTTATTCCTTTTAATGGATTAGTAATTTGGAGGGAGGAGGGAGTGACAGTTTCATCTCATCTGCATTTTGAACCATATTCTGAAGCAGCAGCTGCCAGGTGTGAAGACTGAAGCATTTCTTTGCTCACTTCGATGCTTTCTTTCTCTGAAGGGTTTCCTTTTATCATCACTGTCATCAACAGAGGGCAGTTAGTAAACCCTGCGCACCCTAGCAATGATGCAGGAAAGTACTGTGACAAAACCCCAACAATCCACATTTATTTAGTGTTCTCTACAAATAGTTAAAACGTTCTTCACATCTACTCTGAGAAATGAGCATTGCATTTCAAGTATATCCCAAATGAAATATCTGGCAGGTTATGATATTGTAAGTTAGGACTAGGTTTATCTTGGCACCAGACATAAGGCAGTTTGACATCAGGCCATTGTCCTTAGGCTCACAATGCCAAGAACTGGCAAATTGCTACTTTGGTTTCCACTGATGGTCAAACAAGATCATGAAAGAAAACTGTGTAGACTTTGACCATACCCTCAATATTATAATCCTAGACTTAGGTAAAAGGATTGAACTGGATTATGTGGAGGATATGTGAGAGGACAACTACTATTGAAAGTAAGTAGATATATCTGAATTGATCCACCATGTACAGCTAATTACCTTAATCACTTTGATGGTCCATAATTTTCTCTATTGTTTGGGTAGTATGTAATAAAAATGCCAACACTAATCGTTCCTTCGAAGATCTTAATTGATTTTGAAGCTATAGGACACCTCACTGTTAGCTGGGATTGTTGAAGTTTATTTTTTTTTTTCTCTTCATTAAAACTCTAGGTGTTCTGTGGTTGTGGCTCAATGGTAAAGAGCCTGCCTAATGTGTGAGACTCTGGATTTTAGGGTCAGTAACATTCATACACACGCAATGCGCGCGCGCGCGCGCGCGCGCGCTTTTAGAATAGACTTTAACTCAAATTTCTAACAGCTTCATGAGCTTTAGTTCTGTGCTGCACAAGTGGTGCTGATGTTCCATGAATGCAGAGACCCTGAGTTGTTGGCGCCACCAAAGAGCCTGTGGTGTGAGCTGGAGGCAGTTCTGTTCTCAGTGTAGGGATGGATGCATTATTATTAATTTATTTCTCGAACTCCCTTTTTAGTGGCAAGTTTTGGATAAGCATATACTTGACAGAACTGTCAGATTCTCAGTGGGGGAGATGACCTACCTGCCCACAAGCTTTAGGAGAAGGAGGAAATCATGTTTCTCTAGTTCCTGGTGAAGGACTTGCTTTTATGCTAAAATACTTGCCCAAATCTGAATGTCTTAGAGGCTTCAGTTACCTTGGCAAATCATCATTGGCATAAACTCTTGGTTTTTTGAGACAAGGTTTCTCTGTGTAGTCCTTGCTGTTCTGGAACTCACTCTGTAGACCAGGCTGATCTCGAACTCAGAGATCCTCCTGCCTCTACCTCCCAAGTGCTGGGATTAAAGGTGAATGCCACCACTGCCCAGTCAAACATTTACATCTTTGACTGCATGAGGAATCACTTAAGCAGTGAAAAAATCAAATGTAGAAAAGGTATTCCAATTGATTCTGAGGGTTTTTTGGTTTTGTTTTTTCCTTTTTCTTAGATTCCATGGTCCTAGGGCTGGGGGGGGTCCAAGTCAAAAGCAAGGTTGTTAGTGATGGAGTGGCATAGACCCACCATCATCATTTCTACACAACTTTCCTCAGTGTGTTATTCAAGCCTTGATCCACAGGAGGCAAGACTCTCCAGGAAGTACAGCTTCCATTTGCCAGTTTGAAACCTGTGAGTATGTGAGATTCATGCCATAGTCTTGGCTTAGAACCCTAAACTGGCACCAGGAACTTCTGGAATAGATTGGGGTAGTGAAAACGAGTCATACCCGAATGTACCTCCAGTAGAGCCAGATAGCCAGACCCTGTGTATGTCTGCCTCTCTTCACAAGGATAATGGTCTAAGAATTATGGGTGGTATTTTTGTTTCTTAAACATAAAAAATTATTATTACAAACATTTTAAAATT